GACAATAAAGCAGGAGGAATGAGCAGAGTGTTTGTGTCCATAGGAAGGAAGGTGGGCAGTTCTGCAGCAGGAATGGGGGGATTGGCTTTTCCAGCCTCTGGAGCCCTGCAAGGAACCAGAGGCACGACAGGGGACGTGAGCTCCAAGTCAGAACAGGAATGGTGGGGGGAAAGCAAGGAGCAAGTTGAGACAAATATGGATTTTGCCCTAATTTGACAGGATGCACAACTCCCAGCAGTGTGAAGGGCTTTGATCCCAGACTGTCTGTGGGGAGAGCTCTGCAGGTGCCTGGAATGGGGACAGGGAGCCAGGAGCTGATGGCCCAGCAGCCCAGGTGATGCATTAAATTTTAGCTTTTATATTTCCCAGACCCTGCACTGCCTTAGTGCAGAACTCTGAGCTCCACAGAGAGTGTCAGTTACTGTCTTCACATTTTGGGCACACAGAACAATCCCTCCAGCCTGAGAGCCAAGGACACTCTGCTGCCTCAGCCCCAAAAAGCATCAACAGAAGGGAAAGGGGGGAGCAAACTGGGGGTAAAGGACTGCATGACCTGAAGCCGTAAGTGAACCCCTGATATGTAAATGGACCAAACTTCTATTTGTCTGAAAAACTTGTGAGCACTGTGCACCTTGAAGGCTTCTGACTGCCCAGGGTGTATCTACTGAAGGCCTTTAATATTTTTATTATTATTAATAAATATTTATTAATTTCTTATTATGGCTCTTTATTATTTTTATTAATCCATTTATTATTTATTATGAATGAATACCCACTTAAACTCTGTCTAGCCCCTGTTCTAGGCAGCCACTCCAAGGCATCACAGGAGTCGCCACAAACCAAACCACAGTGAGCAGACCTGGTCCTGCAGCTCCCTCCCTGCCCCATCAATCCCCCAGGGCTGGCAGGCCCTGCTTGCTGTTTGAGGAGCTGCAAACACCTGAGCCATGACTGGAACCAGCCACCAGTGGGATCCCACACAGGGAAAATTTCAATGCTTATTTTCAAATGAAGCAGCTCAGTGCTCTGCTGCTGCCAGCCAGGACAGGTGCCAGGGGTGGGAGAGGCACCAAAACCTGGCAGGGGTAATTCCAGGGTCATCTCCCAGGTCTCACCACACACTCTGTTGAACAGCCACACTGCCCCAAAAATGAGGGTCAAGGAATCATGGAAAGTCCTGAGCTGGAAGGGACTCACAGGGACTGCTGATCCAACCCCAGGCCCTGCACAGACACCCCAAAATCCCACCCTGGGCATCCCTGGAGCAGTGGTCAAAAGCTCCTGGAGCTCTGGCAGCCTTGTGCCCAGCACCCTCTGGGTGAAGAACCTTTCCCAAATTCCAACCTAAAATCCCCTGGCACTGCTCCAGCTGTTCCCTCAGGACAATGGAATCCCCCCAGCCCTCCCAGTGCATCCAGGTGCAAGCCACCACCTTCACCAAAACGCAAATTACTCTGGTTTTCACATCTCAGGGCTTTTCCAAGCAAACCTGAGTTAATAATTCCCGATTCTGGAAGCTCAGATTTGTGTGCTCACTGAACAATTGGTGCATTTTCAGCCCAGGCTGCACAAGGATGAATAAACACTTCACATCCTGTTGGTTCATAGTCAGAGGAGCCACAAGAACCTGGTGTGCTGATCCATCACCACTGCAGACACCTGGAGAGCAGCCTGGCCCCAAGGCCAGCACTGCCACTCCAGCAGAAAGGGGCAGGAAAAGGGATCTGGTGGCTTGTTTATAATGGATTTATTACAGGCTCATTTCAGATTCCACAGACTCCAGGGTCTCTCACTCCATTAAGTCTCCAGGCCATAAAGTGAAGAACAGCTGATGAGCAATGACAGAATTGCTTTTACAACCCAGGTGTAGCACTTGAGTTAAAGTGCAAATCCAGGTTACTGCCAGCAGAAAAAGAAAGTAATTACATTACTGGTTCCTTATGCGCTAAGTTAATAATTTTAAAACAAATAGATAAGAAAAGTTAAAAGTCTTGGGAATACCCTAAGGTGCTCTTTCCCTCAAAGCAGTTTTTTGACCAGAAGGAGTCTTTGTGAAAGGATTTCTGCAAGTGACAACTCCTTTTTGAGAGAAACACATGACCACAATAGGTTATTTTGTTCAGTGTGGCCCAAGAATGATCAGCTTCCCATGAAGATGCTCTTGCAGTCCAACACCAGAGGTGAAGCCTGTGGCAAGGAGGCTGTGGCAGACCAGCAAACCCTGCTGCTCAGGGAGGAGATGCTGCCTGTGAGCTGAGCTGTGGTGCTTCTGTCCCTCCCAAATCCCATCTGTCACTCGGTTGGGAACTCACTGCGAGGGAGAAGCTGCAAGAGCTGCAAGCTGCTTGTCTCTCACGTTTGCTTCCCTGAAAACTGCAATTCCCAGTTCTGCCCTCCCTGCTGCTGGTACTCCAAACTCAGCCCTCTGCCATCTGTGGGGAGGGGAGCCCTCCCCAGTTTAACCAGTTCAGGGCAGAGCTAAACCCAGCAAATCCACTGGAACTCACAGTGCATGATCTGTAACATCCAACCCAGGACAGAAACCCTTCTGAAGGGCAGAAATCAGACAAGTGACACTGAATCACACGGCTGGCTTCCTGGAATTCCCCACTCCATTGCCATGACTTCCAGGGTCTGTTTTAAATAAATCCAAGCAGCTCTACAGAAGTTTCCAAAGCAGAGAGCAGCAGCAGCTACAACCTGGGTGTTCTTTTGCAGAACCCCAGACTATTAAGGGGTGGAAGGGACCTCTAGAGTTCATCCAGTCCAGACCCTGCCCAGGCAGGGTCAGCTGGAGCAGGGGACACAGGAATCATCCAGGTGGCTTTGGAAAGTCACCAGAGAGGGAGATTCCAGGCCCTCCCTGGAGCTGTTCCAGGGATCTGCCTCCATGGAAAAAGTTCTTCCTCATGGTGAGGTGGAACTTGTGTTTTATTATGACTGGGAAGGCTCTGACACCATCCTGGCACCCTCTGGAGATGTTTGTATGGATTGATGAGATTCCCCCCTCAGTCTTTTCTTTCTGAACAAAAGCTGTGCCTTTGCACTTCATGCCTGGCTGGGATGTGTCACCACGCCACACAAACCAGGGCATTCTGTCCTTGCAGCCACTTCAGCACTGGCACAGCCCCAGCCCAAAAGCCCAAACCTTCCTGTAAACCTCACCAACCCCTTCCAGGTGACCCCAAAGCAGTGAGAGCTGGGCCCTCGAGCACAGCACGGGACACGCTTGCAGATGAGACACTCATCAAGTCTGCAAACACCAAACTGACCAAATTACAGTGCAAGTGAGTCAAACTCTGACAAACTCTGACTCTTTGTCAAAGTCTGACAAAGCCAGGCAGTGCCTAAATAATTCTGACACTGCCTGTGGATCAACTTTATCAGTCCGGGCTGCAAATTAAACCCCTGAGCTGTAGCAGGACAGCCCCCATGTCACCAGGAGGAAAAAACCACCTTCTTCATCCAGCTGATCACCCAGGAGTCACAAGATACATCCCACCACACACTTTTTGGGTGGAAACATGCAGGGAGAGGCATTTTTTCCCTCCACCCTGCTTGCTGTCAGGCCAGTGCCTTTTCTGGGAGAGGAGCTGTCACAAGGAGCAGCTGGCTGAGGCCAGCACGGAAAATCACCCCGGAAGGTAATAAATAAAAGGGAAGTCAGAGGAGTGCCTGTGATTCATCTGCTGCCCAAGGCCATCAGAGCTGGGGAGCAGCCTGCCCAAAGGTGTGCTCAGAAAACACCAGCACGGCAATCAGCCGGCAGGATACGGGTTATCTGATCATCCACCGAAGTTTGGGAGTTACGGGTGCCCGCAGCAATCTCAGCAGGCCGTGTACACACTTCCATGGATAAACAGCAAGAAACAAAGTTCAGGGTGTCAGCACTCCACACCCTGCCAGTTACCTGGAGAAACCAGATAAGGTTGTGTGGTGTAAAATGTCTGTGCAGCTCCTGCGAGGAGCTGAGCTGCCTCCCTGCACAGCCACTCTGGGTGGAGGGGTCACCCAGCTCGAATTCGCTGTGAAAACCATGCAGGGTGAGGTTTTTCACCTTCAAGCTCATGGGCTGAACACCCTCGTGGGAGCTGGGGCAATGAACACTTTGCAAGCACAAAATTCGTAATTTTTTCTCACATTGAGAAGTCCAGTGCTGAGCACCAGTGACACAGATCACTCTTAGTAACATAAATCATCAAAAGCTCTGTGTCATGAGTGGCTTCCTGCCAAACCTTCCCTGCCCAATTCTCACCACCAACCTCAAAACTGTGGGTTTAAAACTCTCAAGCAAAGCGGAATTTTATCAGCAACACCACAGAGTTCTGTTCCTGTTAGATACAAGTGAGCCAGCACTCAGAAAAATCCTTTTAAACAGGGCACAGAGCAGAAGGTCCAAGGTGTCAGTCAGAATCATGGAATGGTTTGGGTCGGAAGGTCCTTAAAGCTCCTCCAGTGTCACTTCTGCCATGGGCAGGGACACCTTCCACTATCCCAGGCTGCTCCAAGTCCCGTCCAACCAGGCCTGGGACATTTCCAGTCAAGCTTTCACCCTAAATCCAGATCTCCAGCCGCTGGCAAAGACGCCACCCTGAGCCCTCAATTTGCCTCTATCCTTTCCAACCACATCTCCTTCCAGGCACACCAGCAGGCAAATTTCTTCTGCTGTGCTAGAGCCTTTTTCAGCGTAAAACATGCTGGAGAGGCAAAATGATACAAGTCAGCCCCGAACTTTGAGGGATTCGTGGAGAAGAGCGCCGGACACACAGCCCGATGGATTCGGGGAGCGGGCACCGCCGGAGCGGGCACGGCGGAGGAGCGGAGCACGGAAAGGCTCCGAGGGCACGGGAGAGAAGGAAAAGGAGGGAAGGGACGGGATGGAAGAGAGGGATGGGACGGAGTGGGAGAGAAGGTACGGAACAGAGGGAAGGCACGGGAAGGGGGGAATGGGATGGGAAGGGGCGCACAGCTCCGGGGCATCCCGGCTGGCTCTCACTCACCGACCCCGTACTTCTCGCGCTTGGTGGGGATCCAGCGGGCCATGCCGGCGGGCCCGGGGGTCCCGGGGGCTTTGGGGGGTTCGGGGCTTCCTCAGCGCCGCGCCTCGCCCGCCGCAGCCCCGCGCTGGAGCCGCGGGCCGGGCACGCCGGGCTGCTGAGCCATGCCCCGCTCCGGCCCGCTCCTGTCCCGCTCCTGGCCCCGCTCCTGGCCCCGCTCCGGCCCGCTCCTGGCCCGCTCCGGCCCGCTCCTGGCCCCGCTCCTGCCGCCCAAACGCGATCCCAAACACGCTCTAAACTCCCCGGCACGCGCCCAACTTTACAGCCGCCCCCGGCGCGCCGAGCGCAGGAGAGAGGCGGGGAGAGCGCGGCGGGAGGAGGAGGAGGAGGAGGAGGAGGAGGAGGAGGAGAGGAAGAAGAGAAGGAGGAGGCTCTCCCGGCCCCCGGCACCACCTGCCCCGCACGGCCCCGGCCCGGGACCGGGACACGGCCGCGGGGCAGCGCTCGGGACTGGGCCGGGTCATGGTTTCGGTATCGCTGCTTCAAGATTTGGGGTGCGAGCGTGCAGAAATGGCCCCGCTGTCCCTGGAAATGAGGGGTTTCACTGTCAGCCAGAGTGGGGGTCGGGGAAAGGTTGGGGGCCAGGGAAAGGTTGGATACCAGGGAAAGGATGGATGGATACCAGGGAAGGGTCAGGGGCCAGGAAAAGGTTGGGGATCAGGGAAAGGTTGGATTTTGGGAAAGGTTGGATTTCAGGAAAGGCTCTTCCCCCAGAGGTGCTGGCACTGCCCAGGCTCCCCAGGGAATGGGCACGGCCCCGAGGCTGCCAGAGCTCCAGGGGTGTTTGGACAGGGATGCCCAGGGTGGGATTTTGGGGTGTCTGTGCAGGGCCTGGGGCTGGGCTGGATGATCCCAGTGGGTCCCTTCCAGCTCAGGGTGTTCTGGGACTCTGCAGAATCACGGCGTGGTTTGGGTTGGAAGGAACCTTCATGCCCATCTCATCCCAGCCCCTTCCACCAGCCCAGGCTGCTCCGAGGCTGCTGCGCTGTTCCCAGTAACTCATTAATAGCTAAGAAAACAACGAGGTTACTCGAAAAGCACTCCAGGCATCTGGGAAATGTCACAGGGCCACACTTCACAGGAGACTCGATGTTCTCGAGATTGACTCGGCGCTCGTGACGCAAAGCTGTGCTCCAGGCACAGGAGCTGCCACTCCAGAAAGGGCTTTGAGCTGAAGCACCTCGAGTTGGGGACAGGGGACCAGCTGAGCACGAGCTGGGTCCTGCAGGTGTGTGGGCTGGGCTGGCAAAGCTCCCGGGACAGGGGTGCTCAGTAACACCCAAAGGGGTTTAAATCACATTGTTCACCCAGCCTTAGGGCCAAACTGAGCAGATCCAGGCTCTTCCCATCTCTCCAGGGCTGTTGTAACTGGATGTGGTCTGTGTTAGTGCCTGTGGAGCCTATTGAATCATGGAATAGTGGGGCTGGAGGGGACTTTTATTTATCTCCTTCCAGCCCCCTGCCAGGGACAGGACACCTCTGTCTCTCACAAATGAAAACAATGATCATTCAGAATATTTTAACATCTGACCACTTTTTAAATTGCATTAAAGCGTGAAGATCTGGAGAGATCATCACATTTGTGATTATTTTGCACTGCAAGTGAGAGGCAGCAGGGCAGGGTTGTTGCTCAGCTCTCGGGTGCCCTGGGCAGATCACTTTGGATCTCTGTGATTCCAGCCTGGCGTGTTCAGGAAGAGCTTTCCATACACCCTCCTCTCTCACCTGAGTTTCCAGTAAGTTCAGTTTTCCTTCCTCTTCACTGGCGCCTGAAAGGGGCAGAGCAGCACAAGTAAGAATTAATTATCAGCAATTTGCTCTAACAAATCAACCCAAACAAAAGCCGAAAGGTGCACGCAGGACACTCCCTGTCACCCTTGGGCACAGTCCCTCCTCAGTGCCCTGGTTTTTGTGACTGTGGTGCTGATCTGGCACCCCCCAGGAACAGAGCTGGGTTTGTCACACACACACAGAGCCTTACTCACCCAGGATGTGCAGTCCTGTCACACCCAGTTCACAGCAGGCAGCCAAATGGGGGAGATTAATCTATAGGAAATTCATAATCCTATTTATAGAAAATTCATAAAAGTTTTTATAGAAAGTTCATGACCCTGACCCAAACCCTGCCCTGAAATCTTGTGCAAGGGCTGCTGCTTGGGAGATGCTCCCAGCTCCTCCCCAGACACGGCAGCCCAGGGGCTCAAGGTGCTCCTGAGAACTCCAGCAGCACCTGAGGCTCAGCACAGAGCGTGGCAGGGAGGGACAGAAGGAAAAGGAGACAAAATTTGCAAGCTGGAGCTGCTCAACTGATTTGTTATTTATAGAACACCAACTCAGCACAGTCAGCCTTGCTCAGACGTTGTCCTGGCACATAAAATCCTTGTTGTCACGCAGAAAAAGCTGCAGTTCCTCTGGTTAAAGACTGAGTGGGGCCAGGGTGCGTTTCCCTGGAGCTGGGGGCTCACAGGCCCTGCCAAGGCCCCTCCCGGTGGGATGGGAACAGAAAATATTGGTGGGTTTGGCAAATCCTGAAAGATTCACTGGTGCAGGCTTTATAAATGGAAACTTCATATTGCAGAGGGCTTGGAGGCTTTCATGTGAAGAGCAGTGTCAGTAGGATGTCAAGATATTTAACCATGATTATCTAGGTTTGAGTTTGGACTGCCTGGATTTAAAAATATTCCCTGCTGTGACTGGGATGTGGCTTTTCTGTGGCCTTTTTGTGCAGTGTATGGCAACAAGAGAAGCAGAGGAGAACAGGGTTTTTGGATCACTCTGCATTCCCTTCCATCCTGGGAGTGCTCCATCCATCACCCTCCAGGGCTGATGGTTAGATCTGGTAAAAGTTTCAATGCTTTGAATTAAATATTCCTTGCTGAAATTCACGGTGCCCTCTGTGTGCTAACACCCAAAATCAGTTAAAATGTTTTTCTCAGCAGAGCAAAACCAGCTGTTTCTTTCCTTAGAAAGGCAGTTTTATTTATTTCTTTATTTCTTTTATTTTACTTGGCCTGGGCATTGATTTCTGCAGCACAACCCCCAAAAAAAGAGGAGAAACAGCTCCATGAGAGGTGTCCTGTAGGGGACAGGAGGGGACTGAGGAACCTGCTGAGATCTGGGGCCAGATCATCAATAGGAAAAGTTTTCATGGAGACACAGACTCTTTCAATGCCTCCTGAATTCTCTGCTCATGAGTGGAACTGACAGCCCAGGCCCCGATTTTACTGTAAGATTCCTGATTTTTAGATAAGCTGCCTGAGCTGTGCCAGTGTTTTTCCAGCCCAGGTGAAACAAATTCTTGGCAGCAAATGAAAACCAGAGCAAAGCATGAAAGGCAGGCAAGTAGCAACTGGAGTGCTGGTTTTACCCAAGTGGGGGAACTTGGGGAATGCTCCATCAAATATCAGGATTTGCAGGTGTCAGGGAGCCAGCTCAGCTCTCACTGAAAGGTGGAGTTATTTCAGAAAGTCTTTTATTTCATTTTTTATCACCAAATCCATGTTTTCATTCTGTTTTCTCTGTTGCTTCACAAGGCCATTGGTGGGGAGCCTGTTCTTCTCTGCCTGAGCAGGAACAGGATCAATAATTAAATTCTGATTGAGGCTGCAGCAGAAATTAACTCTCAGCCACATCAAACCCCCGATTCTGAGGGACAGATCAGAGCTGGGGAGAATTTGGGTGACTGAGGTTCACCCACATTTCTAGTGCTCTAAAAAAGTCGTGTTACTCCTGAGTCCTTTATAGCTGAAAGAGCAACACATTTGCAAACGATCAGGCTGCAAAAGGAGAACCTTTCTCTACATTTCTAAATGTCTCTAAGTTTTTAAATGTGAAGTTAAAGTCATTAAAAAATGCCCTGTTCTTACAGATTTTTCTGAAATCCTCTCCTCTTTTTTATTTTTTGTGGCACAACTGAAGTTTAAGAAATGGGATTCTGGTGCCCTCCTGTGTCCAAATCAAAACTACAGCAGTTAAAGTGTTACTACAGCTAAAATGATGGGAAAAGTAAGAAAAAACTGGGGTTTTTTTGGTTTTTTTTTGGTTTTTTTTTCTGGGATAATGCTTAAGAACTCTCCTGGATCAGTCTGGATCCTCTTAAGACAGGTTTTGTGCATGTACAGACAGCAAAGAGGGTCCTTGAATAAACCAATTTATATTTTAGCAAGAGAAAGACATGGAACTGGAGAAAAAAATCAAATAATGAAACCAACGAAAACCTCATACAACAAAAGCCATGTGTTCATTAATGTGCTAAGTCAGTCCCTCTGGAAGATGAACGATCAGGTCTGATAAGAATTGAACTCTTGATTTTCAATCCCAAGCAGAAACCATACAGAAAAAGCAGCAGAGTAGGGTGGATAATTAAATATGCAAATACCCCACAAAAAGGAGGAAAGCAGTGGGTTTACCCAGCTGCCTGCACATGTTTTATCGTGGAACAATGTTTGAGATATTGTCTGACAATCCCAGTGCCCAGATACTGTCTCTGTCCGAATATTCCTCTGCACATTTTGTGACCCAATTGTCTGACAATGTTATTTTGTCCCTTGGTCTGCATTACCCTCTGGGCAGTTCATTTGGTGTTCTGTTCAGGTGTCAGGTGTATTTCTAAACATTTTTTCATCAAAACCACCACCAGCTCCCTTGGCTCCAGCCTAGCTGTGAGAAAGGGCAGAGTTCATTAATTAAACTGGATTTACAGGCACCACAGCCCAGCTCTGATGGAGCCCAGGTGTGACAAACCTGTTCCCATCTGCAGCTGGACAGGGGGGAGAAAAATTGTTGTTTCATCCAGTATAGGAATTATTTCTTTCCTTCCCTGCAGGAAGGTGAAACACTCTGAACTGGGTTTGCAGGAGACAGAAACCTTGCAGCAGTGGGTGACACAGTTCTCTGCCTGCTCCTCAGCTGGAAATAGGATTTGTGCTCCTGAAAAAATTGTTGCTTTTGTGTAAAACTACCAAACACTGCAGGATTTGGACAGGAGATTTCCTGGGGACAGATCTGTAAAGGTGTTTAGGTGCTTAATGATGCTGAAAGGCGCCTTGTAAGAGTCCAAAAGTGCCTCAGATTCCTGCTGGTAGGAATCCAGGAACAGTGAATTCCCCAGCAGTCACTCAGGTTTGGCTTTGTGAGTGTCAGAGTCAGTAATGACCTGGCTCTGCACCTCCCCAGCACTCCCAGCTCAAACCCAGGAGCTGCAGAGCCCCTGGCATGGAATCACT